ACTAACATTAGCTTTTTAAATACGAAATTCGTAACACTATATTGTCGCCAATAAAGTCTGCTTGGCATGATTTGCGCTAGCAAATTGGAAAAGTACCAATGTTTTAAACTATTTATTTTGTATAACATCTGTCTGATTAAAAAAAAATAATAATAATTAAAGATTGTTTTAACTTTATTTACCTGTTTTTTTTATTTATCGAATTTTCTTAATTTGGAGCATTCTAACCATTATTTTTACTTATTAATCTTCAAATTATATCATTAGTATTTATATTCAAAATACAATAAATCATGTTACGGCGAACTACCTCCTTGAATTGGCCATAAAGTGGACAGTATGTCGGGGAACGTAAATAAATGCCAGTACTGATGCTAATAATCACCTCTCTACCACATAGACACCCCACACAGTACTTTTCTGTAATGTACGCACATATGCCAAATTGTGTAGCAGGTGCATAAGAGAAAGTAACCATTTTTTCTTCGTACCTAGTCCTGTTCAATAAAAGCCACAACATGCAACTGGCCCTCAAATAAGATGAACTGTAGCACTTTGTTGTATCACTGAATTGCAGTATTAACTGAAAATCCATCATTAAAGGAGTGCATATTGAGCTGATATGATGCATATAGCTGATAAGATTGGCAATAATTTCTGCTGAATGCATATCTCACTTTACCTTGGATGAGTAGGATACACAGAAATATTGATGATAAATAGTATTTTTTTTTTTTTTTCATTTGATTTATTTTATTTAACTTTTGTAATTCATTTTTTATCTTGATTTATTAATTATCTATTTAGTTTTAGTATAACTTATTTTTTATATTTTAATTACCTCTTTATTTTATTTAATGTTAATTATTCACAATTTATTGTTTCATTTGTAATTTTTCATTTGTTTGTGTCTGATATTTCTGTCAAACTGCAGCTCAGTAATTTCACGAATTAAACGCTGAATATGGTAAATAGCAATATAGTTAATATGATATAAAACTATAATAATAATAATAATGCTATTAAAAATAGAAATATTTTAAACAAATTTTCTGATATTATGTATTTATATATATATAAATTACACTTACGTCCATTGAGAAAAGAGGTCGTGAGTAAACATTAGCACAACATATTGTTTATGAGCTTCTTACAAAATGGCAAATACAGTAGAAAATTGTGTAATTAGAAAACATTTGAAGGAATAAAACTGAGAAAAACTGAAGTGCATAATACATCATTAAGGCATAAAGAAACTGATGCACAGCAGATTGTTTTTGTAAGTTCTGAAACTGTTTTCATTTACATTACATGAAAGAAAACTATAAAGTTAATTATATTAATTGAAATAAATTTGGAGAGATACATGAGATTTCTAATACATTCTGAAAAAAAAAAAATTTTTTTTAACAGTGCTCAGACCGAAATAAATGAAATAAAAAAATAAGAATACTTTAAAGACTTAAATATGCTGTGTTAGCTTAAGCATGTTTATAATTAAATTTTTTTTGAGCTGAACTCAAAAAATTCATCCATTCTAATGCATTATTTTAATACTGCATTATTTTAATACTTGCATGCATACTTGAATATATTCATATGAATAATACTTGAATGCATGCATTATTTTAATACTTTTTACTTCTTTAAATGCGTGCGTTAAAATCTATCAGTTTTAACATCATAAACTATCAGGATTTCATTTAAATAAATGATTGAGTATTTTATGAATTTCTGCAGTTCAAAGAATCAGATAGAGACAAGGGGTAAAAACAAGAGTTTGTTCTCAGTAAAGTTATTTTGATTAAAAAAAAAAGAAAAAAAGATAGCTGTGTTTGTGATTAATATGAAATTTCAACACATCAGTATATCTATGTGGAAAAAATAATAATTTTATATATGGGAGTGTAAATTTAAAGGCTTATATAAAATATAAAACTGGAATTCCATTTCTGGAGTAAAGTTTAGATAAGATAATATGAATACATTTCTGTAGATGATGCAAGTTGCATATTTATGTAAAATCAAACCCAACAATTCAACAAATTTTAACATTTTGTGCTAGTACATGTAATACAGATTTCAATATTAAATTTTAGGAGTGATAAGTAGATGATTTACTGGCTTTATGTTGAATGAAAAATTTAAGATATTAATTATTTTATTCTGTAAAATGTAATTATGCTTTTATTGAATAAAATAATCTTCAGAAATGAGCCAAAATTAGATGGCATAAGCAATTATTTCAAAACGTAGTAAAAAATTAATTTTTTATTGTTATTATTTTAATTTTCTTCAATTATCATACTATATAAAAAATAGTGGCACTGTTATATGAACTGAAAACTATTAAAAAAGCTAATTTTTGTGATTTTTTTAGGTATCAAGAGCAGCTTCCCAAGCTCATACATTCAAGGAAAGAGCTTTATATTACTCATGAAGAACTTGTTCAGATTACGAAATGGAAGCTTATGGTAAAATTCTATTTGAGTGGCTATAATCATTAAACTTAGAGATATATATCACATGTTCATATAAAATATTAATGCTTAAAATGTAAAAAATATCTTTTCACAAAATATACTTTAAAAACATACATCTATTTATACTAAAAATATATTTGAAATTGTATTTTTTATTTATATTTTAAAATTTTGAATTATCCTTAAATTAAAAATTATCCTACTCATTCGATATTACTTATAATTAAAGATGAAAATGAAAAATACAATGACATTCTTACTACTTTTATAACAGTTTTATATTAAGGAAGTCATCATAAATATAATTTTGATGCTGACATCTGTCATCATAAATGTAACTTTGAGTGTTTTAGGAAGGGTTTTACAGGGTTCGTAGTGGTCCTTACAAGTGCTTATAAGTCCTTATATTTGAAAATAAAATATAAAGGTCCTTATAGATGCTTACTTTTTCTTTAAAGCCCTTATTTTTTTGCTTTTATTGCTTTTTTTTTTAATCCTTTTTTTTTTTTTTTTTTAATAAATGCGCATTTTTTTCCGGTACCAAAGCCGAAACTAAATAAACAACTTTTCTTCCTTATATGCAGCATCAGATGGTGAATCATACTCCCGAAAATTGCTTTCCCCCCTTTCTCTGCATTAACGTAACCTATGGTGCGCGCGAGAGTACAGACAGGTGCACGTCGTTCTATTGGTCAAAGAATTGCGAAAACGGTAGAAAATTCTGGTACATTCGGTATTCTTTCCCTCCCACCCAAATACTACACACGTTTGGATTTTCATCATTAAATCTTGTAATATAGTTTAGTTCTGCATAGTTTTTTTTTCCTCTCATTGTAAACTAATTCTGTAAATTAAAATGTCATTTAAAATTTAAAAAAAAAGTTTATTGTTTTCTATGGTTGAGGTAATGCTCATTCTCTTAATAAATATTGCATTGCTCATATTTTAAATTACAAGTCTAATTTTTCTTTTAAGGTTATGCAATTGTGTATAATGTAATTAGACAAGTGCTTATTTTTTCCTTAAAATGTGCTTGAAAAGTGCTTATAGGTGCTTATTTTTTTAACTAAAATGTGGCTATGAACCCTTAGTTTATAATGGACTGCATAATTCTAAAATAGCATAATAATTATCTGTTTGTACACTTTTGAATTGTCATATGAATTATAATTATCCAGATGTAATTCAGATGTTCTGTTGAAATTTTTAGCTGCCCCAAGAAAAAGTTCAAAAACTTTTAACTGTTTGTTATATTATTTTATTGAGTTTTCTTTTTGTTTCAAATTTGATGCATAATTTTCCTGTAAGACTGTTAACCACCATTTTTGATTTATTATATATATATATATATATATATAAAGTAAGAAATTTAGAACTAATATTTGACAAAGACCAGAAATTGAAATTCATAATTAATAAATTTCAAACTATTATATTTATAATTTAAATATATTGAAATGGTTCATTGCCTAATTCTGGATACAGAAAAGCAAGGATTTTTGTAGAAGAGAGTTTTCAATTAATTTTAAGGTTTCTCCCCCCAATGAAGTGATATTGAGATTGATTGATTTCCTCTTCTGGTTTTTGTTCATTTTTCTTTTAATTTCATACTTTCTGAAGAGGGGGTTTTGCTTGTTTGAAATGTTTTGGTTTTAAAATTTTTATATTTATGATTGTATTTGTATGATTATTTGAAATTTATTAATTATGAATTTCAATTTCTGGTCTTTGTGAAATATTAGTTCTAAATTTCTTACTTTATGTCTTTAATGATAATTTTTCTGCAGCCTTATACAAGGAATTAATTAGGCATGTTTGTTTTGTTTTCAAAAGAATAATTTTGTATTTATATATATATATGTTAACCCTGAGTGGCACAGGTTTTTAGATCAATCATGAAGACTGTATTCAAACAGCCTTTATTAGCTAAATTTGTATATTTACTTATTTTAGTCTCTACATTTATTAAGATGACATTTATATTATGAAAGAAAGTAAGAAAGCAAAATATCTTAAAATTATAAGCTAATGTATACCAAGTGGCAAAAAATTTCAATTCATTCTATATTAGAATATATATATATATATATATATCATATAAAACAAGACCTAAATATACTATTAAATGATATTTTAAATATATGTTAATAATGTGCTAAAAAATCTTATATTAGAAATTGAAGTGAATATAAATTTCTTATACAGTCAAAAGTCGTTAATTCGGACACCCATAATCCGGACCTCAAAGCTACAAACTTTCTGCGCATGCGCAGAAGACCTTTACGGCTGCGAATATGTGTTTGCGCGTGCGCAAAATACGTTTACGAATGCGCGTTTAATGTATAACGGACATAAGCTAAGCTAAAATTATCTAATTCAGTTAATATTGCAGATTGCGTTGTTCCTTAATCTTCGAATTAGATTCGGCTTATTATTTTTTGCAGACTGTTACAACAATTTTATAAAAGTAAGCTTGAACTTTCGATTATATCAAATAGAATTTCCGATATATATTTGTTAATATGTAAAGGATCTAAAGCGAAAGTATGTTTCGAAATCCGAAATCTGTTTATCAATTTCACGCAGTTCGGCGGGGGGAATGCCTCGGCGCGTAATGAATTTGGAAGTTGATCTGTCATCACTATCCTTATCTTCAAGGGCAGATGTTTTTATTTTATTTGGCTTATAATTGCTTACTAAATGTAGTATTTCATCTCGATGTGCTCTGTCTTTGATATGATTTAAAACAAGTTTCCTCGTCATTATAATTCGCTTCTGATAGTGAAGAAAGTGACAGAGGTTATTGAAAACGAAAAAATTTCGATTGACAAATTAGTCGGTTATTCTCAACACAGCAATTATAGGACTTGAACAGCTTAAATATGTAACTAAACAAGAAATTATGTCTGTTTAATAGAATTAAAGAGAAAGTGTTATCACATAAAACGAAGCAACTTAAACAACTTACATTGAAAGAAGTGTTTAATATAGTAAACAAATAAATATTAAGCTTTTTCTTAATAAATATTAAGCTTTCTTTAACAAATAAATAAATATTAAGCTTTCTTTTTGTAAATTTTGATACCCTTTAGATCATAATTGTTCTTTATTTCATAAATTACGGTTTCATATTTTTAATTTTATAATTTCTGCATGCCATCTTACCAGATTTAAACTGATGATCTATAATCCGGAAAAATCGATAATCCGGAATCGCCGAAGTCCTGACGAGTCCGGATTAACGACTTTTGACTGTATAAAAAAATTATATTTTTAAGAATTTATCATATAATAAAGAAGAGAAATTTTGTTTTATTGTCACACCAGAGGAGGGGGGATTTAATTTATTTGTTAACTCTGAAAAGTTTGATTAGCTGCAGGTATAAAATTCTCTTATAAAAGCTCAGAATGTAAATTTGAGTGTATGTTTTATGTTTTAATTCCATGTTTGATAATCAGTAGCTTTCCTAGCTATGTGAATACTTTTGCTTTTATTAAATGAATAAATTATGTTAATGTAATTGACTCATTATATCAAATAGAAAGTTGCTGAATTTTGTAAAAGAGCACATTAGTTGCCATATTTCCTCCCGCTTTTTTTTTTTGCTGCTTGGTTCTGAAAATTAAAAAAAAAATATTTGCATATTGTTTCTTTTTCTTTATTGTGCATAGTTTTTTCCTCTGAAGACTAGTTTATCAGTAAATTGTATTTACTTAATTATGTGTGTTCTGTGTATTTAATTTGTATTTGCATTTTTTTTTTTTTTTTTTTTTTTTTGGCTTTGTTTTGTTTGTTAGCATTTCATCCAGTTTGTTTTTCCTTGCATTTGTTATTTGAAACATGTTTTATGCAGATTCTTCATTAAGCTACGTGGGTTTGAAAAGTTTCTCACGCTTTCAAACATATGATTTCACATATTTGAATTGGATATTAGAACAGTAGATTTCGAACATGTGAAACTTTCGAAACATGATTTCACTATGCTTTTCTTACATACGTTCCACCGCATTGTAGTCATATCTACTGTGGATGTTGTTCAAGCTTTCAATAACTAGATCTTTTGTTCATCTCTCTTCTCCAATGTCCATCTTGGGAACAGCTCACATGAACAAGACTCATTCATGTGAGCTGCCAATGAAGCTTTACAAGATAACTGAACTGATATATCTCTTACACTCAAATATTAGCTCATTATCCATCAAATATCATAATGTTAATATTACTGTGCATTCTTTCTTACTGGAATGTAGGTTTCTTTGAAAGAAGTAATATTGTGGTAATTACAAGTAGTTTATCCGTGATTACTTTTCATTTCTTATGTTCTTACTGAATAGTGGTCTTCAGAAATTAAATTGCTCGCATAATTTTGCCCTTTCAATTTTCAAACAGTAAAATAAGTTTAAAAGAAGGAAAAAATACAGGGGAGAACACTGTAATCAGTTTAAAAAAATTAATGTCTTCTTATGCTACATTTTAGAAGGTGGATATGCACTTCATCTGTAAATTAAAAAAAAAAAAAAAAAAAAAAAATAATTTTTAGTGTGCACAGCAGTTTTTGCAAGACAGTGTGCTAGAGCTAAATTTTTGCTTTCTGCACATAAAAGCAACTCTGATCATTAAATATAAAAATGAATAAGCAGTACTTCCCTGTTATATTGTTAAGAAATGGGAATTTGAATGTTTCTGCCTTCCCAAGAAACCAACAGTTACTGGTTTGTGCATGTGTACATAATTTATGTTTCTTCAGCTAATATTTTCTTGGTTTTATTGCTAAATATTTAAAATGCTTGCAATTTTTTGTTTTCTGTCAATCGATAAAGGTGATATAATTTATGTACAGGTACAATGTTGGTAGTGATAATGTATTTGATGCTTCTTAACAGCTGTTGCTGAACTGTGGCCACCAGAAATGTTGAAATGCTAATTTATTTAAGAAGCTGAAATTTTTAGAATAATTATTAGGATTTTGGGAAGTTTTTTATTATTGCAAAAGATTATAATGTATTTCTCTAACCTTCTTGGTGTGCCTTCATGGTGTGGTGGTCTGCACACTGGGCTGGTATTCCAGAAGTCCGCGGTTCGATTCCTGGCGAAGGCATTGCTAATTTTTCATCTTTCGTGCTTCCAAAATACCTAATGTCTCTATAATATAATAAAAATTCACAAATTAAATAATTTTGCACTGGTTTATTGTGAAATAATATTTTCAGAAGTTAATGTAATAACGGATTTATTATTATTATTATTATTTGCTTTACTTTCTAAATATATTTGAGATTTTTATATTTCTAGATGCATGTTTGAAAAATAATGTAAGGAAATCATGCAGTTAATTTTTGTTTCATGTAAATTAAGAATTGGTTTTTAAAAGATGTGGTCAGTTATGTGTTTCTAATTGAAAAGTACCCATTTAAATCACATCTCATTAATAAACAACAAATTTTTATTTATAATTTTAAAGCCAGTTGGCTCCAACTAATTAAAAATAAAGTAATCAACACCTTCATTAGTTCACCCTCATTCTTCAACACCTTCATTGGCAGTGTCTATCATCCACAGAATTGTGAGATTTTGTTTTAATGCTTCATGTTTATGTCAAAGAATAGATCTAAAATTAAAATAAAGTTAAAATTGGTTCTATAATTTAAGAGTAACATTCTTAATGGTTTATATTCTTTAAGAGTAAAGCCTTCAGATAGCAATGCTGTTAAATTGATGTAATTTTGTCATATTAGAATTTTTATCTGATCTTTATTATAATATCAGTGTTAGTGGATGAATGAAAGGGGGGCAAGGCACTCCATCATGCATTCAATATTTTTCTATGCAGTCAGTGGTGCACATCATGGGAAGGCATCGATGGCTGCAAAAAGAATCACTTGGCAGCAGTCGTCTTTGCCACAGTGAATTCTTGTCATATGCTGATGTATAAATCCATGGAATTTCAACTATGGGTGGTCAGTACACATAAGCAGAGGGTATCATGTTAGTAGATTTAGGCACTTGGTGAAAAATTGTCACATTAAAACACTTCTTAGAATTTTAGAATTTATTGTGGCTAAATATTTTTATATAGGTCATATATATTTGCTGATATTTTATTTACAGAGGGAGAAGTTTCGTCCTAACCTAATTGACTTGGTTCGCATAAACACTGAGAAAGCAGTTGTAACACACAGCAAGAAAGCTTTTAAAAGACTACCCAACCTTTCTGGAGCTATAGCTATGCTGACATGCTTGAAAGGAGTGGGTCCTGCCTCTGCTTCTGGTAATATTTTATGAAATCAATCCTGAAGATCTTTGTTTGTATTGAGCAGCTATAGTTTAACAGAATTTGAGCATGGTTTTATTGTTTTTATGGTAATAAAAGAGCTTTTTTTTTCCCCATGTATGAGCCTATAATCCTACTTTTCGTGTTTATGCCAATAATTTTTTTAAAAAGTGAATTATATTGACTGTTCTTATTGATTTTTGTCCAACTCTTATTTCATGCAAAGCGCTGTAAAACATGTATTACGATTCTGAGATAAGTAAGGGGTTACCTTGGTTAATTAAGGTAAAATATATAGAGATGTTTGTCGCTACATAAAACTTTTTTTTTTTTTTTTTTGTAAATTTTTATAGCAATCTTAGCTGCTGCATTCCCAGATCAAGCTCCATTTATGGCAGATGAGAGTATGCTTTCTACTCCGGGTGTTGAAACTATGGATTACACTGTAGCAGAATATTTAAACTATGCTCTACAGCTGAAAAAGAAGTCTGACTACCTCAACAATTTAGGTATGTCTTTTATATATAGGGTGTTATAAAGATAGTAAGCACTTAAAAGTACATACAAGTTAGTAAACATAGAAGAAATATGAAGTTGTATCACGTGGTAAAATACTGAGCATAGATAGGTGTAATTTTTAAGGCATGTTATTACACAAAGTTTTCTGTTGCTGTTATAACTATTATCCAGGATAATATCTTTTAGAGTCTGACCATGCTCCTGTACTTTTGACTATACTTGCCATAGCTCAGCCTTATGCTAACCCCTAATATGTTCAGCTATTAAACAGAAGATCCATGGTTCAAATTCCAGTGAGGGCACATTACAGTAATTGTATTTTTCATATCATCATTGTGAGTTTTTTCATAGTTTCTGCTCTTAAATACCTAATAATATCTACAAGTGTATGGACATTATAAAAAAATTATTAGCATCCTACCCTCATTTGTTTTTAAGATGCTTTAGGAAGCAATATTTTATTTTTGATATTTGTACATTTTTCTTTTTTAGGATTTTCTTTTTTAAAAACTTAATGCTTTCTAATATCTTTATTCTCATCTTACTATGATGAATAAAAGCCAAAATGAGAATTTGTTATAACTGGAAATTTGACATAAAGAATTGCGTGGGATATTTTTTATTTATCCAGAGTATTCTGAAATAAGATGGGATTAAAGAAAATCATTATAATACATGTAAAAGTTTGATACTTATTGTATTATGCTGTTTGTTTTTTACTGTGTTATGCTAATGAGAAATGCAGTTGTGTTGGAAAATTAACATTAGTAAGTGCTTAACTTTCGTATTAAAATTTTTATCTTCATGTCTAGTTTTATGCCTAAGCCTTTAAGAGCTTAATTAAAAAAACAAGTGATAAAACATTATATAATCAAATTTCAGGAACGGGTTTTATAATCTCAGTAATGAGTATCAGGATTAAAAACGTAGGTATATGTGAAGTCATTAAGTATTTTCAGAACTGTTTTTAAATAGTTAAAATGTTTTATTTTGCTGTTGTATGAAAAGGCTTCTAAAATATTTCAGAGACTTTCACTTAACGGTCTTTTCCTCTTTTTTAAGGATTAAATCTCAAAATAACATCAGATGAATGTAATTTAACTGTTAATGGTATAAATATAGAGGAAATTGAATATATGCTGAAATTGAGAAACATCACATTCAGATAAAGGTTTTTGAAGAAACTCTACGTAAAATATGTGTTGCAACTTTAATATTATAAATTCCAGTCCTCTAAATGTAGTATAGTTGCCTTTGATCAAGCGCTTTAGTGTTTAAAAGAGTATGGAAATCAATATATGCAGTGTATATAATGATATATAATGATAGAAATATTATGAAACAAAGTAAAATCAATTGATTCGAAGTACATTCCTTTAGCATCAGTGGAGTGACTGAAATGGTTTCTGCAGAGCTTTCCAGTACGTCTAAAAAAACAAAGGGATTTGCATTCTGGTGTATATTTTTAAATTTTTAATGTTAACAAAATAAAAAAAAAGTCCCTTTTAGTAGTAATGCAGAGACATAAAATGATTGCAGGGCAGTAGATGAAGAGGATAATGTGGGTGATTGAACAAATACTTGTTTTACTGGTCAAAAGTTTTTGGGCATTTATACTTACATTCCAGCAAGCAGGCAGTGCAGAAGAAACCAGCAAAACAAAATTACAAACAACAAAATTATGCATTAAAAATTAAAATGCATCTTAGGATCGCATGGTACTAGTTAGATTGTGTTTTTGCCATCTTCATTATAAAATAGGACTCATTGTTGGATTACGTAGTGCCATTATGTGAATGGATTAAGGGTTTAATAATTTCATGTCAGTTCATTTGTTGCCAGTTTTATCACAGAACACTGTTTCACTGAGCCAGATGTTTGTATGTACAGTTATAATTTGCAAAGTGATAAAATAGGTATTTTTCTGCAAGTTGTCTTCCTTTTATTTGTATTAAAAAATTATAATGATTTTCATATGTAGTTCTGTCAGTTATCTTTTTTCCTCTTTATTTAATTGAAGATCCAAGTCAGAATTGGAATCCTCATAAAATTGAGCTTGCTTTATGGGCTCATTTTGTTGCCGGAGAGCTAGAACCATCCATATTGTCAAACCTACCTCCACCTGAAGATCTCCCTGAGGCACCGGGTAATGAAGATGAGGACAAGAAAGAAAATATCTCTAAAGAGAAAGAAGCAAGTGTCAAGAAGCGATCATCCCAAGACGAGGATTCAGTGGATAGTTTTGCTAACCTGAGCAGTGGTGAGGCTTCAAATGATGCTGCTGATTTTTCATATTCTGATTCTGATTTGAATAAGGATATAAAAGACAATGGGCTTGAACCACCAACAAAAAAATGTCGCATATAACTTTGAACATTCTTTATCATATTCATTTTTAAACATTTGTACATGTGTACTTTACACAATTATTAAAACCTTGAACTGAACGAACAACAAGTAAAAATACAGTTGTTAAAATGTTCTTTAGGCGTATATTTTAGATGCAACAATGCTAATTAGGTACTGTTTGGTTTAGTTTGCTGATGAACTTTTCCGAACATGCTTGAATTTTTATGATCTTTTTTTTTTTTTTTTTTTTTTTTTTTTTTTTGTATGTGTCATCTTACCAGGCCAAACTAAAAAATTATTTTGTTATTCAGCATTGAAATTTATTAATGGTATTATTTAATGTACACATATACCTAATGTTTAAGATTTGCATGACCTTTTCTGTTATATAGAGATGAAAATACAGTTTGTTAAACATAATTTAATGAGAATAAAATATGTCTTAAATACAGTTTCACACATGCAACTCATTTACATATGAGTTAGGGGGAAGAATTATTTTAACAGTAATTTTAAGAAAAATCAGCATTTTTTAAATCAAGCCTTTTGCATTATCTACAATCAGCTTGTTATAGTTTATCATTTGTATGTATATCAGAGCTAATTGATCTGATGAAAGACATTCTTAATTAATGTACATGTAATTATTAAGAAAATTTTTAATCTTAAAAGCCATCACCCACTGAATTCTTTTACACACATCAGGGAAAATTTTAACCTTTGTTTAGTGGCAATGAGCATTCAGGTTATTGTTCCTTTTGAATTTTTGAGTATTTAAAAAGTGTATTTTTTTCATTACTAAGTTATTAATGATTGATTTGATTAGGAAAATTTTTTTTTTTTGGAAGACACTTTTGAATGTCAGATTTGGCAGGAGGAATCTTGTTTGTCATGCTCTCAATAATCAAATCATCATTAATTGTTGACTTAGCTCATATTAATTTCCTTTAAAAAGTGTTAGAACTGTAGAACTGAATTTATTGATAAACTTTCTTGTCAGATTTGTAATTAATGAACTATATGTTGACTGAATTAGTTCAAAAAAAAATCTGAAGGATTTTCTTTGTGAGGTACTAGAATTTTTTCTGGTAAAATATCTGTTTACTTGGATAACCTTTTTCACTTAAAATTTTATAGGTTTCTTTTTATGTATTTAAAACGTCATGTATAAAGTACATGGAATATAAAATCATTTTGCAGGTTTTAGAAATTGTTTTTTGCACTAAATTTTTTAATCGTCTTTTTTTTATTATTATTATTTTAATGCTGGAATTATAAATGATTTTATGTTTAAAATGTTTCATATAGGGATGATTGCTAGAGTTATAATTTTCATAAATTAGGGATTTTCCCATTTTTGTTAATTTGAATTTCACATTCCCTACACAACTCATAAAATATCTCCTCTAGAATTGTTAAATGTGAATTTTAGGTTGAAGTCATGTGATTTTGTTTTCCGTGAAGTTTTTGAATGTAATTGTATAAAAAAATAAGAAAAATAACTTTCATATTTTATCTATAATTCTTGTAATAATTTCATTGTTAAATATTAGAAAAAGTTCAAAGGTTATACCTTTATTATATTTTTTATGGAGAAATTTCCCATATGAAAGAGTATGAATTTATTTATTGTTAATAAGTTTAATATTTTAGATGACAAAAATCTCTTTGTTTTAGATTAATACCCAATTTTATTGTTTACATTTTCCTTTGTATGTGCAACTGTTATTTGCATACTTTCAGTAAATTTTTGCACAAAACTAATTTAAATTGTTAAAAAGAACTTCATCAAAAAATAAAACATGGTATAATTTTTTTAAAAAAATTTGCTTTTCTTAGTCACAATTTAGAAACATTTTATCATTTTCTTCATAAATGTAGTAAGTGTTTTATGTAATTCAGCTTTTATATTCAGAACTGGATATATTTGTATGTAGCCAGCTGAAAGATAATTCAATCTTGAAAAGTAGGATGTTGATAAATCTCATATTTCTTCAATAATAATAATACTTTTGTATTAACTCTTTTTGGGGGGTGCTTCTTAAGAAATGGGGTTTCTTTCCCCAAGTTTTAACATAGCAGATATCTGTAAAGTACACTCTAGGCATTTGATTTTTTAAAATGCGTTATTTACAGAAATGTAAGAGTTATTTCAAAAAGTTAAAAAAAAAAGTCCCAAGAAAATCGAAAAGTATAAGGCATTATTAAAGTTTTACTGAAGTAAATTATGACATGCACAGTGTTAATTATTAATATTTTCACAAATTTGTTTTCTTGTTCTAAAATGTGAAGTTTGATTTTGTTGAATTTGAGCACACCTTTCCAAGCTCTAATTAGAAGCAGTTTAAGTTTTATAATCTACAAACATTTATTAATCAGATGTATAGAATTTTACTTTTTCTTAATCTAATGATGGGCACTTGTCTATTCAGCATTGCCCGCTTCTAGGCCAGAAGTGGTGGCCATTTTTATTGTGGAAGCATCCTGATAGGCAGATGCTGTTACCTTGTATGATGGGATGGACAGTTACAGCTATGCCTTCTCCAGAATTTTAACCCGGTACCACAATAGGCTCCACTAACCACTATGCTGTCTGTGTGACATTTTACATGTTAACATTGCTATTTACTATTTTAACCTAAAAAAATTTTTATTAAGTTAAAAAAATGTAAATTTCACCATCAATATTTACCATAAGTAAACTCAAAAGTAAACAGCTAAAAATTACATTATATACACACACAATAGACATATAGCTTTCTGAATTGGTATTTTAAATCATTGTATGTATGTTAGCCCCAGTCGTGGACATAAAAATTATCAGGTACATATATGGGTCAAAGTAGTTGAAACAGAATATTTCTATAAAAATTCCTAATTTAAAGTAAGTTAATAAATAAATTATATAGATTTTTCTCTTCAATAAAAATTTTTGCTAGATCTAAATGTTATTGTAATTAAACTTTCACTTGCATTTGATGAGAATTTACATCTCTTTATATAAAATCCTTAGTCTTTTATTGGAGTTTTTTTTGGGGGGGTAGAGAGCATAGCTGCTATTTGTAAATAGCATTTTAGGTCACGAAATTTTTAATTCATGGTTAGCTGAAAATAGTTTTATTTTAAGCATTAATATTCTTTAATTGATTATAATAATTTCACACTTAAACATTATTTCTTCATAAATTTAATCTGGTTTTCACATATGCTACAGATTTTTACATGAAACATATTGATTTTAATACAAAAATCTGAAAACCTTCAAAATTTACATTGTGTCCAAAGTAATTTTTTTTTTTTTTTTTTTTTTTTAGTGTTTTGTGTGTTATATCATGTTCTTCGCATTTAAACTATAAAATTCAATTCAAGAGGAATATCACAAAATAATTTTTAAATGAGCGTATCTTTAGAATTTCCGATACACGCTGTCCCTCGCTGGAGATAATTCCCCCCTCATTCAGTGTTGCTATTGCTCACTTTAAAATAATTGAGTTTGTTAACCAAAAATTCATTGAAGTTTTACAAAATGTGAAATAGATAATAAAACAAATTCCAACTTCCAAATTTGGACTTTTAAGATGCCCATATTTGGGTGGAAACATATGTTATTCAAAATTGGATGGCCCTAGGTACCTTTGTTTTATCACATTGCGAGAAATGTACATACATACATTTATGCAGATTCTTTATTATTTAATTTCTTTAAATATAATACAAGGTGATAATATTTGTGGCAGCAATTTGAGAAGTGAACCGACATTTCAGTGCAGAATGTCAAAATGAAATTAATAGTCCTCCTGTGCAAATTGCCCCTTTGGACTAAAAATAAATAGTTTGAAAACACTAAGGAAAAGAATCTGTGGTAATAAAATCATTAATGCTAATCAGTTTTCATGGCTTCTGATTCATCTTTTTTTGTTTTTTCCCTTAAAATTGTTAATGTTTTTCATACAATGCACCTTTAGAGCTTATGCACTTAGATGTGCAAATAAACATTTAATGCTTAGCTGTGCTTCTTAATTTATCGCAACTTGCAAATCATCTATTTGTTAACTTGTATGTGAAATTTTTAATTAAAAATTTACTTCTGGTTTCACTGCCATAGAATCACTTGAAATAAATTAAATGTTGTTTTAGCAATTAATTATGTTTTCAATTGCTAATAACATATGAAATAGTTGTTTTGGGTTCCTCTGAATCAAACCAATGATAGCTCCAAGTGGCTTTATGTAGCTTGCTTCAGTTCAAGTAACTCAAGCTCAAACTCGTGGTGCTTGGTGGATTCTAAATGGTGCAGAAAAATGTTCATGACAACAGAAATCACTGATTTATACTTTTATTGTTATTGTTATAATTTTTTATAGCCATAGTGTTTTTCTTTGGAATTAATGTGTCTGATCTAAGCTGCTTGATGTTATTCATCATGAATGAAACTGTTAAAAAAAATTGTGGCATTATTGCAACCAGTTTTATTATGTTCTTGCTTAAGTTTCATATGTTTAATGAAATTTTATCAAATTGAAACCAAAAGCTGATGCAAAGAATTTTTGATGTATTAATAGAATATGCATCTGTGTAGAAAACCCATGATGCGAATTTGTCAGAAATGAAGATAATCATCTACAACCAGTTTTGCTATTATTGCTGTTTTGCTTTTTGTTATCTTTAATTATTAGTTGCACTTTATAATTAATATTGGTATGAAAGCTAATTTTAAAAATAGATGATTAAACAAACATCATAGTCCAGAAACTTAGCATTTACGTTGATGAGTCTTTGGATAAAAATTATTTACCTTGAGTAAATACAGTAATATTCCAAAGTTGCATATGATTCATTTTTAAATCAAAGACTAATATTTAAGCTATAATGTTAAGGTAGGGAAGGATTTACTAGACAATTTTCCACTTATAAGTGAAGTTGTACTTTCCAGAATTTTAGTACAAATTGAATACAGTTGTGAGGGATGCAAAAATTTTTAATACTCTCAAGTGTTTTAAAATTATTTTGCAGTTTTGAAATTAAATGAAGTTATTCAACCGAAGGGGTCTTTGAAGATAGCAGGAAATCTTATCCCGAAGTCTGGAACAAACATACTTCTTTTTCCCTGAAAAGTAACTCTTAGCAGTCTTCTGCTATAGTTATTTTGATTGCTTTCAATTTCTTTCCTATCTGTTTCTGTTCATTTCTAGTCCTAATCAGTGTCTTCAGAGTTATTCATTGTAAATTTGAAGAGATTTAATATTTTGAATACCAAATTCCTGAGATTCTTCAAGAAAATTTTGGTTCTGAAATATTGTTAAACAGGAGTTCCTGTAACCGACTCAAATAAAAAAAATTATCTTTCTCAGTATGGCTTAACTTCAAAAGACAAGCAGTGCAAGTCATTTAATATTTCTGGTTGTATGTTTGGTAGACCAGAATTTTTAGTAACAGGTGTGTGTACAACAGTTATAACATCCAATAATTTGTATAAAGATTTGGTATTTATTTTTTCCGTTGTTAAATTAAAATTTTATGATCTGTGCTTGGCTGTTAAAAATGTATTATTTCTTTTTAGTTGAAAAAGAATGGTTAAAATTTGTCATGAATGTTCAACTAAAATCATACATTTTAGTTGTTCCAATACCCTGTTTCATTTGATTTTTATTTCTTAAAATACTATTGTCTGCTTTTTTGTTTGCACCGTATCATACTTTAATTAATTATCTTTAATTAAAACTTTTATTTTGAATTTTGGAAATTCTGTAAACAGTGGTCTTTGCAGTGCTAAATTTGTAACTGTTGCAAAGAAACTAGAAGCATTTATTTATCATGGTATAAATTTTATTGTAAGTATCTTAAGTGATTATTTGAAATAAGTTTTATTTCAAAATCCAATAGCTCATAAGATTTGAAAGTTTTCTGGATCTTCCCTGTTGCAGTTTTTTTATATTATGATAGGAGTAAAATTTTGTAAATGATATATATAATTATTTAGCAACTTGAAAGACTTCACAAATACATGTATGTTTCTAGTTTGTCTGGAAAAAGTTCTCTGTTTTTCTAGTTTTACATTTAAAGAATAACTTTTTTGTATCTCTGAAGTTACATGTTATAGTGACTTCCTCAAATTTTAAAAGTAAAAAATAATTTTCATTACTTTCCTGCTAAAAAGAACTGTCAGTTATGATGCTTATGTCATACCCAGTGAGGAATGTATTTTTAAACCTTAAATATGTTTAAAGAAAACATAATATGTTTTCCCTTGTAAGTTTCAATAGAGTTAATTTTTTAGTTTGTCCTGATTTGATGTTTCAATGCATGCTGAAGTAGTAGAAAAAGTTTTATTACTTTATAATCTGTCTATTAAAATACAATATTAATTTTTAAGATTTTATAAAAGAAACTAACTGCATTAAAAAATTATGCTTGTTTATGTTTCAAATGTAGTTTTTAAATATTGCTTTAAAACTGAAACTTAATTAATTTTGAATTATTGCAGTATATGTTTACTTTTTAATTATTTAATGCTTAACTTCCAAAGTAAGCTTTTGTTCCATAGCAACAGTGGAAATCTCAGAGTTTAAGAATATTTTAATGAGATTCTCTTAATTTAATTGTTTAATGATAAAAAAATTAATTTCAAAAAGTTAACAGGATATGTTAATTAAATCTCTATTTTCTTCTGCATGTATAATTTTTATTGAATTGTACAATATGTGACCATTCAATAAATAAAATCACATGAAACATAAGTACTGAATACGGTTCACGTAAAATGGTACAGAATAAAAAATCTGTGTTGTTTCCATGTGCATTTGAAGAGAAAAAGTGATTTTTCACTTCAGATATTTATGAGAAGTATTTCTTTGCTTTTTAAATTATCATTTAAAGTACTTCATAAAAATTTTCATAACTTTATAGGTTATTTTTAATAACATTACCATAAGAGACTGGTGGCTTAAAAAAGAAAGATTTCTTTTATTTTTTCATCTGAAATTTGAACTTGTATGTTTTGTCTTAAGATGTGGTGTTTGTAGTAATCTATATAGTATAGAGGAATTACAGGACAAATTGTAAAAGTTTTTATATGCAGTTTGGATGAACTTAAGTCACTTTAAATGTGACTTTCAAAGTCAAAAGGTTATAATAATTGTTTCAGTTCCTGATTTTTGCATTTTTCTGAAGGGAAAAAAAAAAAAAAAAAAGTCATGTTAACATTTGGAAGAGGTGTGTATGCCAATATCAAATGTTGTTTTATATCCGTCTTTATTTTCAAAATACTTTATGAGTACATCAGGAATATTATCACAATTTTGGAATGGCTCTAGCTTTTATGCCATTCCGAGTAGATATTAAACAAATCTGATATTATTGACTGAAGTATTAGTTTTATCTTGCAGTTAACTTTTAGCATGCTTTTTAAAAAAAAACTTTGAGACTTTATGGCAGACTTGAATTTTTTCCATGACACTGGAAGAAATGGAAGAAGTTAACAGTGATGCACTCAAGGGGGGCTGCTAAAGGTGACACATTTCTTAATAATAATTTACTAAATTTTTTATTATTGCTGCAGGAAAATGCAAAGTGATTAATTTTCTCCAAAAATCCAAAGAAATGTATGGTAGAATTCTTATTTATTTATTGAAGTGGCATTTCATTGATTTTTCATTATTCCCTCTCATTCATGTTACACTAGTAAGGAAATAATTATTACAATGTATGATTTTATAAATTAATTATTATTTCTTTAAATTTTGTATTTAAATATTAGTATTATATTATTAGGAACATTTCCGTGTTTTAAACATGTCCCAATATGTACAGCATTTTAACTTGCTACTTTTCTTCTTCCATACATATATTTGAAATATAAATTGTTTAGTTTTATAGTAATGTTATGTATTAATAAAATATAACTATAATAATATTACTATAAAATAAGTTAACAGTTAAATTGTAGTCAGTTTTCTCCATGAAAAAAACTTATCAATCCTGTTGAGAATACACAACTTCAAAAATTTTACTTTGTTCTGATGCCAATAGCAATGCATTAAATCTTGTATGATAGAAAGGAATGTTCTCATTGACTATGTAATATAGTTGAGATTTAGTTCATCAGCATTGGAACAATTTTTCTTTTGTTTTGAATCCACCAATTTTGTTGTATAGTTTTTATGATTATGTATATGTTCAATTTTGTAACTTTTTAAACTTCAGTTCTGATTTCTGTTTTTTTTTTTTTTTTTTTTTTTTTTTTTTTTTAAACTATGTCATTGATATAAATTGAAATTCAGTTTTAGAATCTGTCTAAATTTACAAATGTGAAAGTAAATCTCATAGCGAGTACACAAAAGTACATTCATATATATATTACGAAGAAAAGGTTATTGTAAAGGTACAAATGGGAGTAGTAAAATTATTTATAAAATGAAAATATTTTGGTTAGTAATATAATAGTGCTACTTATGAATGCAATAGGGATATAATAATGTAAATAAGTTCAAAAATTAGTTTCTTCCATTTCTTCTACTTGGGTGAAAGAAACAGTTCTTTCACACAATTTTTTTGCTATGGAAGAAATTTGCCTACCCTGCTTTGTGAAGACATTCTCCTGGGTTTTAGTTTATTAACAGGAATGCCATTTAAGCTAAAGACATTCAGCTGCACATAACGTAAGACTGTGTATGCTCTCTAAAGATTAGTTATGCTTAATAGAACTAAATCTCAAAGTTTAAGTATATTTATCTATTTTATAAAGTTTGTGAGTTTAGAAATGGAAAAAAAAATGCATTTTTTGCAAAGAAAAAAAAAAAAAAAAAAAAGAACATGTGCAATGTTTTAAAGACAACTTATTAATGTAGTTCTATCGGCATTCTGTTACAGATATCTGAAGCAAAATGGTCATATTCAACTCTTGTGTATTATAGAATTAATTTAAATGCTTTAATGATATTCAAGCAGGATTTTGATGCTCACGTATTTTTATCAATCATTTTTCATTCTCATCATCATTTATTGAAAATGTGAATGTTTATGTATACTATGTAAAAAAAAAATTCCCCACTTTTTTTGCCCTTTTTATGGTACAAATTTATTTTATGTGTGTATGTGGACATATATCAAATAAAAAAAATTAAGGAATTTGATTATCTTAAGACACTTTTGGTCATTTACATAACTTTATTTTTAATTTGATTTTAAAATTTAAGAAATTCTGGAAGTTATTAAAAATTTAAGTTTTAAAAATTTGAACTCATTTTCATGCATAAAAATGCACCTTTGTATGAAGTAAATTTTGAACTTATAATCTGTATATGTTCTGTACCTTCTAGTCAAATTGTTATGTAAAAAGTTTTAATACACAAGGATATAAATTTGCAATGCAATTATTATTTTTTGCATAATAATGAAAAAGACCTTGTTTAATATTTTTAAAATTTAAGAAATTCTGGAAGTTATTAAAAATTTAAGTTTTAAAAATTTGAACTCATTTTCATGCATAAAAATGCACCTTTGTATGAAGTAAACTTTGAAATTATAATCTGTATATGTTCTGTACCTTCTAGTCAAATTGTTATGTAAAAAGTTTTAATACACAAGGATATAAATTTGCAATGCAATTATTATTTTTTGCATAATAATGAAAAAGACCTTGTTTAATATTTTTGATGATAGAAGATATTCTTTCTTTGATATTTTCATATATATCAAAAGGATGGATATGCAGTTCTGTTTTAAGAATATTAACATTACTATTCTGAGTGTGCAGCTTCTCTTAAAAATTCGTATAAGCTACTTTTCTTTTAAATTAAGTTAGGAAACTTGCTTCAAGACAGTGGTGATAAGATTTCACTTTTGAGTAATGCTGAATACTCAGAATATTTGTTCTTTATATATATTTTAGCTCTGTGCATAGTGTATTCCTTCCTTGTGCATGTATAAATGCAGAAAGAATTGGAAATCATTTATTATTCGTGAAGTTTAGTTATTTTTATTATTGTGTGTGTGAAGTCTTTTATAATATTATTTGATTTGACATTTGTAGTGTCTAATTGAAGAAAACAGCAGAAATAAAATTTTCTTATCCAGAATGGTGTTGTTGAAAATTTGAAATTATATTTAAACTTGTTATGAAGTACAAGACATTCAAGATTAAGATATAATAACATACCGAACAAGTATTAATTTAGAAGTCAAACAACAAAAATCAACATTACATTTCAAATTAAAACTTTAAATTTAAATTTTAAATATAATGCTGGTTTTTGTTGTTTGACTTCTAAATTAATATCAGACATTCATTTAGGTAATTAATTTTCAATTTTCATAATTTAAATTTGTAATCAAAGCATAGAGGATCCCAGATAACAGTAAACATTATTTTATTAACTGGTATATTCGTTTTTAAAATTTTATAAATCTGCTGTTAAAAATATGTGAAATAAATGTAGTGGTATGAAGAAGATCACTAGCATTGAAACTAAAATGGCCATCTGATGCTGCGTCAAAAACTATAACGTAAGAGGACATTTTATCCTATTAGTTGGTCTCAAATATTGACTAAATTCAAACATAGTACAAAGTCATCGGGAAAATCCAGACTCATCGGGATTTTCGCAATTCCGGAGTTGGAGATTTTTCCAGATATTAGATTATGAGTTTAAATCTAGTAAGGTGACATGTAGAAATTATAAAATTAAAAATATGAAATAAAAAAATTTCCAAAACGTTTCAGATTTTAAATAACATCCAAAGGGGCCTTTTTTTTAACATTTTGTGTGTTACCTTTATTTATTAAATATGATGTTCTTCACACTTAAACTATAAAATTCAGTTCAAGACCAATATCACAAAATAATTTTAAATTGAGCATATCTTTAGAATTTCCAATACACAGTCTCGCACCCTGAAGATAAAAATGTTTTTTCTGAACAACATTGCCATTGCTCGCTTTGAAATCCTTGAGTTTGTTAATCAAAAATTCGTTAAAGTTTTACAAAATATGAAATCGATAATAAAACGGATTTCAAATTTGGCTTTTCAGAGGCCCATATTCGCAGTAGGATTACGTCATTCAAAATTTGATGGCTCTAGGTACTGCTGTTTTATCACAATGCGAGAAACATACATACATTTACGCAGATTCTTTATTATTTAATGTCTTCAAATATAAAATAGGGCGATAATATTTGGTGGCAACAGTTTGAGAAGGCAAACGAACATTCAGAGTGATTTGATGCAAAATTGCAAAATGAAAACTAATAGTCCCTCAGATAAAAAGCACCTTTCAACTAAATGAAGCATTTATTATGAAAGAAATGAAAATTTACCAAAAAGGGGGGGCTCAATATTTATTTGTTTGTTTTATTGAACATTTATTTAATGTAAGTTATTTCATGTGCCTCATTTTTGTACTAGTATTCTGTGTTTAATTCTATAGAAAAACATAATTTCTGGTTGAATAATCAATC